ATTGGATTATTTCAAAAGTGTGTTTCCTGGGTTGTTTTATATGCTTTTTATTACCCTAAGAAATTATTACATATAAATGAGTGTTTACCAGAGGTAAAAACATCTGTGCTTGAAATTTTTGGGTGTCGATGCCCTACTATTATATGATTTATCTATGTCGATGCAGTATGCAGTTCTAGGAAAACGTGTCTGTCGACTCTCAAAACAGATGTATTATCGAAAGTGTTCGAAATAAATTTGCAATGGGAATGTATAAGCAATTTTAAAATTATTTTGAAATATACGAGGGGTCTCATAAAGTGGACGTATCAAACGTATGTTTGTTTTTATAAAACTCCCGTATTTTATTGCATTTTTTATACCTTACTATTGTAATTCCGGAGATATTTCTATTTTCCTTAAATTGTAGGGCATTAAAAAAATAATAATTCCTAAACCAATGAATTTAGCCAAACAATATTTTAATTGTAGGTAAAGCGTAATAATAGAGAATACCGACGTATTTAAAGTTATATGCAAATACACAGGGTGTCAATTATTTATAATTATTATTTTATTATTTGTTATATCACAATTATTTCACAATTAAATTTTGTTTTTTTAGTTATATTAAATTTTTTATAATTTTTTCTTATTATTATTAGTTGTTTATCTTGGACAGCAATTAAATTGTAACGCAGAAAGTCACGGCGAAATTAGATCTAGTATAGAGCAGGCTAGAGCTGCTTTTAGAAGGATGTCCAAGGTGTTATGTAACAGAGACCTAAAATTGGCTTTGAAGAACCGCCTACTTCGCTGCTACGTGTTCTCGGTCTTACTTTATGATGTCGAGTCCTGGACTGTAAATAAAATCGATCTAAATCGCCTTGAGGGTTTCGAAATGTGGTGCTATAGAAGAATTTTAAAAGTTTCCTGGGTGGAGAAGATTCGAAACTCCACAATACTAGAATGTCTCAGCAAGACTACTGAGATCATAAAAAGCACCAAACATTGAAAACTGGAGTGTTTCGGACATGTAATGAGAGGGTCCCAAATATAGGTTGCTACAAAATATCATGCAAGGAAAAATAGCAGGCAAACGCAGTCAAGGACGAACAAGAACCTCATCGTTACAGAACTTGCGAGATTGGTATGGTGTTAACACAAGCATGCTATTTAGGGTGGCAGTGAATAAAATTAAGATATCTATCATGGTAACCAACGTTCTGAAAGGACATGGTACATGAAGAAGAAGAATATTTTTTCCTTATTTAGAACACTTTGTATATGAACGTATGACTATAGTTTAATTATTTTATCGTTTAAACAATATTTAGGATATCTTAAGCGCAGAATAATAAACAATCAGAACGCTCACTCTGCTAAAAAAAAATAAGTACGCGCATCTCGTTCGCGCAGACGGAATCAGCCATGTTTTAGTCGGAATTGGTGCTGTTCAGTGATATTTTATCTTATGTGCATAGATAAATTTACCCGGTTTAATTTATTTACGGCAACTTCAGACATAATATGCACTTTCACATATTTTTATTCGTACTTTTAGTTGAAGAATAGATTAAATTGTTTCAAATGTACTAAATTATCAATCTCTAAAAATTTAAATTACGGTTATGTCGTAGCTTGTCACAAATTTCTCAATTCGAGTCTATGTTTCCGTCTAAAACATGGCGTTTGCGTGCTGACATACTTTAAAGGCTGCATCTGAGAGTGGGCATTCTGATTATTTATTATTATGTGTCTTAAAGTGTACCAACGTGTTTCAACATTATTGACAATTCATGTTTTTACGAAATTCTGAGTAGGCTTTAGTAAAAATACAGTATTTCCTTTAAACGCCATCTTGTATTTTGTATACTTAAGTTAATTCTAGGTATACCATTTTTCAACCTCACTTTTCGCCAATTATTTCTTGTATTAATATATCAATCTCCTGGAATATCAATCTTTTCGGGGTCCACACGCAAAAGTAACAAAAGTTTTTATTTGCTACAAATAGCTGCCCTTGAATTTGATAGTAATATGCATGATTTCTCTTTAAAATATATTTGTCATCTTTCACTTCCATATACTTTAGTATCTTCCTATCTATTGCATCTTTAGGACATATATCTTTTACTGAAATTAGACATTTAATTTCGACAATCATATTATTACCTATGAGTTCATCTGGTGTTGCAGCTAAAAAAGGATATTCCTGATGAACATACATTCCTGATGGACAAATATCTAAACAAGCATTTCGCTTAATTCTTATACTGCAATGGATTATATTTCTATTCCATGGGCTGTGAATTTATTTCCTTTAAAAGCATTTAAAATAATGTCTTTGGCAACCTTTCTTTTGTCGGTTGTTACCTTTAACTTACAAATTCGACCAAAATTTGAGGCTGTCAGACGTTTCCTTCTTTCTGAATACCATTTACTTGAATTCCGTTGAGCTATTGTGTTATTGAATAATTGAATACATTCCTCATTATTCTTATAAAGTTCCGATCTAAATTTTTCTTTAATTTTCTCTAATTTAATGATCAATTTTTAACGTTTTTTGTGCTTGTGGCCCATAGTCTTCATCTGGAGCATGGTTTTTTGTTATATATTTTATTAATTTTTGCAAATTTTTGTAATATCATTTTCTTCGCAATGTATTTTTGATACACACTGAACTAAATTTTTTTATATATACGCCAGGACTTCTTTCTGTGATGCTTTTGTAAAGGGCTTGGTGATATTGACCTTTAGAGATGTACGATAAAGCAGCAGCGTGGCATCTCATTTCATAGGACCCCCGAGAGCTCTAATTTATTCTTTGACCTCCTAGAAACTTTGCTATTACATTATTATATTGTCCAGCATTGTTACTCATATTTTTCATAAGACTATTTGCATGGAATTTTAATCTTACTGTACAACGTCCCATATTTTAATTTAATAAAGATAATAAATAAAGAAATAAATAGTCTTTATAAATTAATTGAGCAATATCTACACAACACAGCTTTTCACAGATATACATGTGCTAAGCCGATTCTGGATAAACTAGATACCGACAGTTTTAAAGCCTTCATGCCAGTGAGAATTTTACTACACATAATTTGCTGTGTAAAGAAAGATAAACTAGGGATAGGGCAGTCGGTGTCGATTCGCTCTGTCTAAAAATTGCGCCTACGCTCTTAAAAACGGTTATTACGAATACCAATTATTGGAAAAAAACATTTGTTACCATTTACTGACTTTTATTAAATACGGCGCTAATATCTGGGAGCAAATACATTTCTAATGGATTGTTTCTTTTGCATGTGCAAACATACAACCAGTAAAACAAGGTACATGTTCAATCAAGTATGGAACGGAGAATTTTTTTTCTTGCTTTTCAACATTAGTGTAATTTTCAACAAAGTATCTTTTAAAATACCCAAGCAAATAAAGGATGAGACTGCGTTCTCACTACAGAGGTGAACCAATGAAGGTATATAATTATTAATTCGTATGAACAAGTCTGACGTTGATCTTTTTTAAAATGTTTATTTTTATATATTATAAAAAACCTATACACCATAAAAACCTCAAAAAATTTCATTATGCACTTTCTGGCCTATAAGCATTGCCATAAAAAATTGGTTTTAAAATTCTCCTAGTCCTCAGATTACTTACTATTTGATTAACTGGGGAAGAATGCGAAACATTTTGAAGGGAGAACTAAATTCCCTGAAGAAACGTGCAGTTTTTTAGTGTAATCGGGGAGAAGTCTCCCTGTTAAGGTAACCAGGTGTCGCCATCTCTTTTGTTGAGACTGCTCGGAAACCTTGTTCTAATCTCACACACATAATATTGGTTGAAGTATATGTTATTCGATTGGGAAGCTGCTACAAAATTAATAAGCACCAGATATAAAACAACAAACGAACAAATCTCTATTGGGACTAATTTAAAAACAGGAGATTTATTATTACATTAAAATTTTAATTTATTTTAGTAAAACATACGAAAATAAAGAAAAGTTTATCTTTATATGTGTAAAAATGCGAAAGTGCATTAAAACATGATCCTTAGGGTATTGTCTGCATGGCGATTAAGAAGTGTGTCGGATCCCTTTCTTTTCTAACAAAAGGTTTTCTTCGAGACTCCGCTGAAATATATGAATATCATAAAATGACCATTTAGTCAACATTTTTTCAAGGAAATGATATTTATCAAGTCTATTTTTAAATTTTTAAATACACACAATTGGAGTAACTACAAACGACAACAAAATAACAAAAAAGACAAGAAGTAAAAAATTGATTTTATTCCATTTGGTTTGAGAGTTTAATATATTTTATAAGTGCCTTTATGATGATTTGCAAAAGTTTTGCACTTGCCATTGTCGATTTGTTGAATTACAGCGTAAGCCCTATATCTACCTATACAAAGTTCTTGGGTAGTTTGTAGTCGTAGGGGCCTAAGTCTTCACTAAGACTAAGACTTAGGCTTTAAGTAAGATTTAGATTAAGATTTACTTAAGCCCTAAGTAAGTAACCTGCCTAAGTAAGATTTAAGACTTCCAGAACCTCGCTGCTAAACTTATTTTCGCTGTTGAGCTCTTGTATCTTGAAAAGGCTCATTCTCGTTTCTCCTATAATTCTGATGCTGGTTACTGGTGTTACAGCTAATTGTTTTCACATTGGTAGCACATATAATATTTCAATGTTACGTACATGCTTAAGTTTTAATACGAAAACGTCCCTTAAGATATATTTTGCGAAAGAATTAGTTTTTTCATAAATTATTCCCCGTGAATATGTAATGTTTTGATTTAAAATAATATATAAAAAAATTATTACAACATTGTCAAAATCAGACCTGCCGTGGGTATTAACAAGAACATCGTAAAAAATGAACTGAGAGGTGATAAAACAACTATCTCAGCAGATGCTATATTAGTAGCACTATTACATAAACAAAACTGCAAATAATCTATATTAGTATCAAACTCTATCAACGAAAAACTTAAAGTATAGTACCTTGATTACAGACATAAATTCGTTATAGCTAGTAAGAGGCAAAATTCTCAACAAATCGTTGATGAAATCTCCTCTTTCTTCCGGTTCAGCTACCGGTCTCTATAAACATTAAAAAGACGTTGAAATTCGCTGTCTTCGAATGTACAACTACACACGCACACAAATTAGTCTCAATTTTTCTTACGAAAATTGTAGATCTGGGAAAATTTCGTCATAAACTAGTAGACACTGTAGGACTTTTGTAGGAACGAATATGTTAAATAGGGAGATATTGTAACATTTTTTACCGCCCTGATTTTTTTTCACTTAGCGTTCATTTTATTTTGTTTAGACATTTTATTATGTGTTGCTTTGTATCATATTTAATTCAATTTCAGAGAACGGCTTACCACACATTTTTCTTAAAATCAAATTTCTTTACATTCCCAGAGTATAAATTATTTTAATTATATAGTACACTTGGATCAGCGTTTCTATCATTCATCTTTTGTATACTATATGCATATGAGGGACTCATTAAGCCATATGCTCTTCAATTTAATCAGAAATGAAGTCATCATAAGCTTTAACGAAGAAAAAGGATACATAATGGAGAACAAAGACAAAACAAAGTCAAAATACTCTGTTAAGTAGATGACGAAATATTCATAGGCCAAGATGAAGATAGTTTAAAAAATTGGAACGAAACTGGACGAAAGTTAGTGGCCTGAACTATCCGAAAAAGATTCCAATGGAAATAAAGGTAAAATTCCATATAACTGCCCTAAGACCCGCTATGAGGTACGAAAGTGAGTGTTGGATAGTTACAAAATTTTACATGATTCTTTTGATATTAAACACTCCCAAAGTGATGCAAATAAAGCAGTATGTCAGAAAATCAAGTGAGTAAATTGGTTGATCAATTTTTGTTCGAAATTAATAAATAAAATACACCGATTAGAAATTAGTGTTGAATTTGAAACAAGAATTGTTGGTATAAATAATTAAAAAATAAGACTAAGAGACGTAACTTTGTTCAACGGTGTTCCGAATATCTTCTGCCCCTATTATTTTTCCACATTATATATATATATATATATATATATATATATATATATATATATATATATATATATATATATATATATATATATATATATATATATATATTATACTTTTTATTTGACCTGTTGACTTTTTAGCATTTGCAGAATGTTCTAAGATAATCAAATTTGGGCAAATTTATTTAAATGACCGCTTACTTTTTTTTATTGGGAATATGCAACAATTTTACTTTACAATAAGTGTAATTCAACATTTTGATTTCCACTTCGGAAATAGTTTTATATCAATAAAATTTATTAATGTTTCGTATTTTAAGTATGATTTCCGAATTGGAAATCTGAACATCAAAATCAGCTTATCTTAAAGTAACATTGTGCCTTATTCCCAATAAAAATAATAAACTGCATTATGACACCAGAATAAAAAAAGCTTTAGTACAGTACAAGAAAGAGAAACCGATAAAGATGACTTAATCCATGGTGTATTTTTGATGAATTAATTGGACATGACTCATCTAAACATACAACTGTATCGAGAGCAATAAAAGAAGTCGACATGTATTTATCTGATGATATATTAACCAGAAAAAATCTAACGGAGATTGGAACTGTCCATTACAGTGGTGGAGAAACCATCGCCATGTATATCCTAACTTAACCACTATATTCATAAAATATTGTAATATTGTAGCAACATCGGTTCCTTGTGAACGCATGTTCAAAAAATCTGGTTTAATTTTAAATAAAAGAAGAACACGGCTAACAACAAGTAAAGTGGAAAAACTTATGTTTTTAAATGTCTATTTAGACGATTCGCTATTTAATAATAATGTGTAATGTAAATGTAAGTACTATTTACTATTTGTATTGTTTAATTTATTTTTCAAGTTATAAAAAATATATCCTTTGTTAGTTTCTTTCACTTCACAATACATATACACATAAACGATAATAGCCAATATGTTTCTTTATGTACTCGCTTATTTGAAAGTACTGTTAAACAATCAACTAGTTGAATAATTTAACTAGTTTTTCAACTAGTTACTTGTTTACCAAAAACGGTTCAGTTTCGTTAACGATAAAAACGTCAACGTCCCACCTCTAAAATACATAGCATAGCGTTCAACCTGTCTCCTATGCAGTTTACCATTGAAGAGGATGGACGAATGGCGATGTTGCCAAAATTATCTTGTTTTATTGGAAATCAGGCTACAATTTCGTCAAATGAAAAAGCAAATCTGTAAATTTCTCATGAATTTAAGAAATTTTGTACCAGTATTTGTGTCAATTAGTGTTCACTTTGAATATCCTTATCCAGTATTGAATGGCAATATAACCGCGCCACTGATCGCCAATTTTTTGAATCAATTCAATGTCCTAATTAAAATATGTAATAAGGCAGCCTTGCTACTGTATATTTACTCTTTCTTTTACCAAGAGTGTCTCGTATCGAAATTGTTTTTATTGAATACTTTTTCACTATCAATGAAGCACAAACAATTACTCAGTTTTTCTTTAACTTTCCATTAAAACAACGTTGAAAAATAAAGCTTTTACCTTCTCAATTAAGTCGATTGAATTTTCTATAATTTTCAGTGGCAGGGTTTTAAGAAAATTTTTCAAAAACATTTCACTAAATTTGTTAATATGATGTTTTTACATCTCTTGAGATTTTTGTTTCCCAGCCAATAAATACACGCAACGTTTTAAAAACTTTTTTGGTTTATAATGATTTTCGTTTTAAATTTTTCAAAAATAACTCATGCAAAAATAAATTTATTATAAATACTACTTTTTATCTACTATTGCAAAATAAACTAATAATCTACAAAATAAAATAAAATAAAGCAAGACACTCTACCTTACGTACCAACTCCTGTGAATCTGGTTTCCCGAACATGCTTTTAGGACGGGATGGTCTATTTCCGCTCTCTCCAGTCGACTTAATCACTGTGGGAACTACTTGGATGTCTTTGTAAAAATCTGGATGCTTCGTATTAATATAAGCCAGTTCAATTGCAACAAGATTCTCTACCATTGAGTTAGTTGTGGGAAGGCGACGCCTTAGAAGCTGCGTGACGACGTCAACTATTTTTTCGTAGAGTTTCGGAAATCTGAGCATTTCTTGTTGAACTTCGTTACCGCAGTGCTGAAATTATAAAGTTAATATAAACCAAAGATAACACTATTGCTAAGTATATATCAGTTTTAGTCATGAAGACATGAAAAATGCGTGCTGCAAGTGAAATTTCTGACCAAAACGTGATTAAAGGTAACACATCATTCTCCGCTTCTTTTATATACATTATTTAGGCTATATCTTCAACACACTGATGTTCTACCCGTCGGTAAACAATACATATTCCAATCGTTCATGATTCAGTTGATATATGCGAAGACGAAAGTTACCCTGTGCCTTCTGTGAACTGTAAAAAGCTAGGACCCTAAACGGACTGTAAGATATCAAATCTCTTAACGTTCGTTGAAGTCCTTGAAATCGTTTTAACTTTCGTCAAAGATTGCTAGTTTTTGAGCTTGCTGAAGACTTGTTAGGTGCATTTAGTGATTCGCGTTTTTTTTCACAATGCAGCAAAGTTGCAAGGTTCTCTGGATGTTAATTTTCCTTTGGATATTCTCCCTTGCAATATTACAATCTAAATATTTTTTATTTACCATTATGAAATACATCTAAAGACCAATGTACTGTGCCACCCCAGCGTATAAAGATACTGTTTTGATCTCAAGAGAAAAGATTATTAATTTGATACATTTTTTGGATGCCTTTTCTAGTACGTCGTGTTTAGTTGGATAATAAGCAAGAATTGGATTTTTCGCTATACAAAAATAAAACAAAAAAAAATGCAGTATTAAGGTCGATTCTCACACACCAGTGACATGTTCGTAATGAGACAGTGCCATATCAGTGCTTCGCCGACCCGTGATTTCGACTGTTTCACTTTCTGTTCACACAGGTCAGTACCGTGGACGGCGTATACAGTGAAGCTTCTCAGAATGGTGCTATTTTCAGATTCACATACCCAATTGTTGATGATTGCTGTGATCTTGGACGAAGAAGAACTACAGGAAAATGAATCAATTGCAACAAATAAGCGCATGTGGGTCCATCAAGCATGGAAGAAGAGGACAGAAGAAGGAGAATACTCAATATAAAGAGTTGGTGGATGATGGAGTCAAGTTTTTTGAATATTTCAGAATGTCTGAAAATTCGTTCACGTTGCTATTGAGTAAATTATGTTTATCTTACTAAACAAAACACATACTGGAGATAAGCTATCACACCAAGAGAACGGCTCGCTGTTTGTTTGAGGTAAGCGTAATAAATAAACTAAGTAAACTAAGGAAAAACATTGTATTTTATATGGTAACACTATGATACAAAATATTAACTAAAATGAACACATCATACAATAGAATTAACTGACGGTAACACAAACATAAACACAATAATACAAGTTAACAAGGTAGCATAATAAATGTATGATATTTCGTTAACATCTTTCCGTGTTTACATTGGATCACAAATCACCTACCTCTAGATGCTTCACGACAATACTTTATTAAGATATGAAATTCAGCGCTCCAAGAGATTTGTATCGGAACTAATTCAAGCGGGAAATTACGCGGGAATTTCCAAATTTTATTTTTTTTTGGGAAATAAAAAAAGCTTAAAATATTTAAATACAATTTGATATATTTGAAGAAAAAAATGCATTTTAATTTTTAAAAGGTGCAAATTCTTTTTAAATCCAAATAAATACAATACAATTTACGAAAAATAAAACAAAATATAATTTATTTATTTATTTAATACATGTCAAAGAACTTTGTATATTAATTTAAAATACAATAGAAATATGCTTTATTACCACTGAAAATTGTACTCAAATGATTGAAGCGTGGAAAGATTGTGCATCTCGACTTGTTGAAGAACTTTTAACTAAAACAAAAAGTTGATATAATAATTTATACCATGATTCCCTTCAAGTAAAATAATTTTTATTAATTACAATGTAATGTCATGTTAGGGTTACTTACTTTATATTACATTTGCTTTCGCGTACAACATTGAAATACTTCTGGGATGTAGATTAGAAGAAGAATCCAAAATCAATCAGCTATTTGTTCTCGGAAATTGCATTTTGGTACAAGCTATGACTCCATGTAGAAGCAAACTTATCTTCATATTCGTTTTGTTTTAAAAACTGTAGTGGAATTCATCATATCTAAATTAAGATTTTTTATAACACTAAGCCACATGTTAATGCTAACAATAACCCAGAGACATTAAACCAAGTTTACTTTGATTTCTTTGCAATAATAACGATCAAATCAAACAATTTAGACGAATAATAACTATCTGAAATCTGATTATATAGACACTAATCAATTATTATTACTCATACTGACAGTTAGCGATTAACAATTATAATTTTTAGTTTGGTTCTAAACCTAAATTGCAGAGTATAGACTATATGTGGAGTATAGCGACATCAAATGATTTGTATCGGTACTACAAATGACATTTAGTTTAGTTTGACCTTGAGCTACCTACGTGAAACGTCTAGTTATTAGTGGTCTGTGCATTGGATAAAAGTCCGACAAATATCGTTGAACTGAAGTTTCGTTCATCATCATTTCCTGGGTTTGTTCCACAGAAGATTAAAATGTACGGGGTGGTCTTGAAACATATGTGTGGCTACGTCCTGCAGGAGATGGTGGTTCCGGGGTATATCCTAAGAAGAGAGAACGGCTCGAAAATTGTTGCTGGTCCATGTGCATTAGTTCATACTTTTGAACAGTAGCAAATAATTCTTTTAAAATAATTTTTTTAAAACTGGGACAATCCCTGTTAAGAAAGCGTCAACTTGATGCTGCGGCTTATGAGGGGAAGTCATGCAATCATTTTGTTTGACAAGATACTCCATAACAGTAGCTGCAGCCGTCTTGGTTGGAGGCGCTACTTGTCGTAACTCTTTCCTTTTTCGCTTAGGAGTCTGCTTAGAGGAACTAGCTGTATCGACGTTATTTGACACATTTTGAATATAACGTTCTTGGCTTGGACTTGAAGAAGAGTTTCTTTCTGCTACTTCATCAACCGATTCGGTAACTGCAGTTGTAGTTGCGGTGTTTTCTTCAGTAATTTGGTTGGATACTTTATCAGCAAAGTTCGATGTGGTATCTCTGTCCTCAAAAACACTCAAATGCTTAGAATATTTGTATGACCTCACTGTTTTCGCCTTTTGGCCACTCACACTTTTATGTTTTATCAATGATTTTCTACAGTTTTCTCTAATATTGCTCCATTTATACATGAAGGACCTTAAACATAAATAATATTATTGTATATACTCGTAGATGTTTTACATGTATATATAATGTTTGCCTATAATTAACATCATTATTGGGTCATTCAAATGGTCTAGGCCATTTAGATGAGATGATTTTTTTATGAAATTTTATTTTATATTTTCTATGAAACATAATATCCATATATTTATAACTATGGTCTTCTTTCTTTTAGGTATTTGGCCACTGGTGATTTACTTAAAACGATCTCGTTTATCTATCGCATGGGACATAGTACAGTTTAATATATTGTATGAGACACCTGTAAGATAATTGCAGAAAATCTTATGGACGAGTTGATGCCTACACCAACAGAGGAAATGTGTAAGATCATCGCTAATGATTTTTATCGTATGTGGAATTTTCCTAATTGCATAGAAGCAATGGATGGAAAACATATTATTATTTAGGCCCCTCCGAATCCCGGATCAATGTTCTATAGTTACAAAAAGATATTCTCGGTAGTTTTGTTGTCTCTTGTAGGCGGTAGATCTTGTAGACTTGCCAATTCAAAGTTGGGCAATGCACTTAATCGTAGATTGCACTTAGTACAGGACATCAGAAAATGCGTTTGGTATTCTGGTTCAAAAATTTAGGCTCTACAATAGGCGGATTCAGACTTTTCCAGACCATCTAGATTACCTAATCTTAGCAACTTGCTGACTGCATAATTTTATTAAAAATATGATACCAATACATACAATTACGTTACACTTTACAAGGAAGGAACGCATTGTCAAATGCATTTCGTGTACGAGAAATTTTTACGAAATATTTTAATTCTGATGCTGGTTCTTTACCATGGCGAGGAAATATCGTGATGTAAAAAAAAAGTAGGTACATACTGATTATGTCATGAGCTATGCCACTTACCCTTTATCATCAAAATATTTTGCTTGTAATTATAATAAAAATATATGTAATAACCTAATAAATAAGATGAATATAAATAATAAAGTGAATTTCTTACCATCTGTTTTCATTTCTATGCCGATTTTATTCCATACGCCATGTTTGAACACTGTGTCCGTATACTTCGGATTCGATAAATCATACAGTACCAAAAAGCGAAAATTTTAACACCAAAATATGTAGCAAAAGAGGATCCGTGATGCGGCAGTGATAATAAAAGTATCGTCGGCGAGAACTTTTAAAATAAAAATATTATCAGTGATAATAAAAATATCGTCGTCGAGAAATTTTAAAACACGGTACGGTCACTCGACACCGCTGATAGCACTGAGACACGCTGGTGCCGGACGAGTGTGAACTGCGTCATTAATATTCCCAGAAGAATACTTTTACGTCGTCAGTGAAATGACGTACCGGATACGGTCACATCACGGGTGTGTGTGAATCGCTCTTTAGATTCAAGCTCTATAACTTGCCAATAAATTAACGCTAGCATATTAACAAACTACTTTGAAATGATATGAAGCTTAATTTATTAGAAAAATTAACATACCACTTCCTGTTCAAAAACACAAGGCTAAAACAAACAAAAACGCTGGTTCCCTTTGTATTGTATTATTAAACAAACTGTTCTTTATATATAATTCTTCTACTCTTACGAATATTAGAAATAATTTGAATCAAACACTAGACTCTATATATAAATTTTGTATTACAAAAATGATGTCAAATTTCCCAATAATTTTCAATTAGTATTAGTTAATACGATACCTGTATAATCCGTTGCATTTCTTCATGGATCAGTTCCACACAACGCAGCGACGGTTCCTCTAATCGTCTTATCTGTCGTTTAACTAACAACTCGAACGAAACTTCTGGTACAAACAGTGCTGGACGTGGTCCATTCGCATTCCTGAAATATAAAAATACTCTAACACAATGTTTTATTATGATCAACACTTTGTGAAACCCACTGATATGCTCAAAAACTTTTTTTTTGAAAAGTTTTTTTAGAACGTGTCTCGACGACGAGGTCATTGACACGATGACAGTACAATAGAATATAAGGGTATTAACAACACAGTTTTATATTTAACAGTTATAGATCATTACACTTCAGAGTTTATAAGGCACTTCAATATCTCTTAAATATTTTAAACAGGCTTGCATATTTCTCAGTTTCATTCAACATTTCATGTATATATTATCTCCCAATTGGTGTTGTTTTCTTTTGGTAGAGAGATGTAGGCATTCTTTAAGGAAATGCTTGACGGTGAAGGGACTGCTGCAATGGCCGCATGCAGATGGATCGGTAGATGCCATGAGAAAGCCATGTGCAAGCAGAGTGTGTACAATTCTTAATCTTCTTAGAATAACCTTATGCCTTCTGGGCATAGGTGGTAGCTCTAAGGAAGGCATAACTGGCTGTATATTTTGTAAGTGACTCGGAGTTGTGTTCCAATTAATTAGCCTGCCATTTGTCATATAGACGCTCTTTGAACATTTTTTAAATATCATTATGCAGCTGGATATTTGATATAGGTGTATCCAAAGTAGAAGCTTCTTTTGCGGCTACATCTGCAGCCTCATTTCCTACAAGTACTACGTGTGAAGATACCCACAATAGTGACAACTACTCCATGGTCGTAAGTTTATTATATATATCATGTATTAAATTTACCAGAGGATGATCTGAGAACATGTTTTTAATCACTTGTTTTGATGATGAGAAGTCTGTGCAAATCGCTACATTGCGGTCAGTTGATTCCAACATTACGTCACGAACCTATTTGAAGACGATAGTTCACCTCCTGATATTACAAACTGCGACGGACCCCTATTAACACACTCGGTGGTTATAAAAGCCATACAATCATCGAAAGATGGCAGAGCGACTGGTCCTGATGAAATTCCAACTGAAATATACAAGCTTATAAATGATAACAAAGTTTTAGAGGCTATATCTTCGATTTTCAAAACAATTTTACCAGCAGACAACTACCTAATGGTTGGTCTAATTCACTGTTTATAGCTCTACCTAAGACAACAGCAAAAACCTGTGCTGATTATAGAACCATCAGTTTGTTAAACCACTTATTGAAAATTTTTCTGAAGGTAATACATGGTCGTATCTACAATAAATGCGACTAATACCTGAATGACACTCAGTTTGGTTTCCGTAACGGGTTTGGAACGACAGAGGCACTGTTTGAAATGAACGTATTTGTTCAAAGATGTCGAGATATATCTGTAGACATATACTATTGTTATATCGACTTCCAAAAGGCATTTGATCATGTTACGCACTCTATATTAATCGAAGCTCTAAAAGACATTGGCTTGGACGGCAGAGATATTCGAATAATTGCAAATTTATATTGGAATCAAACAACATCAGTATTAGTAAATGGTGTGGAATCACAGGCTCTCAATATTAAACGAGGAGTACGACAGGGACACCTCTTGTCACCCCTGCTTTTCAAAGTTTACTCGAAGAATTTTAAAAGTTTCCTGGGTGGAGACGATTCGAAATTCCGCAATACTAGAACGTCTCAGCAAAACTACTGAGATCATAAAAAGCATCAAACAGAGAAAGCTGGAGTATTTCGGACATGTAATGAGAGGTCCCAAATATAGGTTGCTACAAAATATCATGCAAGGAAAAATAGCAGGCAAACGCAGTCCAGAACGAAGAAGAACCTCATGGTTGAAAAACTTGCGAGATTGGTATGGTCTTGATACAAGCATGCTATTTAGGGTGGTAGTGAATAAAATTAAGATAGCTATGATGGTAACCAACATTCTGAAAGGACATGGTATATAAAGAAGAAGGTTCCAACATACGAAAAATCTTGACGATACCATCTAGTTATCCAGTGTATGCAATACAAATGGCACGAAGTCTGATTAGTTTTGTAGTGCTAAAAGAGGAAACAACAGCACTACCCACCCCTACATCATTTTTAGAGGCATCTGTATAAAGAACTTTATGAAACTTATGAACGATTGTTTATTTATTATAGTTTTAGGAGTATCATGTTTATTGAAAGTCTATCATCAAATAAATATTATTAAAAAAGAATTCAAACCAAGAATCAATTATTGTAATGATAAGGAAGGTAACTTACTTACCAACAAAGAGAATATCCTTTTACGATGGGTAGAGCACTTTCGAGAGTTGCTGGAAGGGGAACCTACTAACAATATACGTCTGGAATACCGAAATGAGGAACTTGTGGAATCCCCCTCGGTAGATGAAGTGAAAATATCTATAGAAAAACTAAGGAACCATAAATCCCCAGGTAGCGATGGCATCCCAGCAGAGTTATTTAAGCACGGTGGAGAGCAGTTCACCAAGGTGATGCGAGAAATTGTTTGTACAATTTGGTCTGAGGAGTAAATGCCTGAAGAATGAAGCTCAGGCTTAATTTGCCCGTTAAACAAAAAAGGTTGATCAGTACGAATATCTCGGAGTTACACTAAGCGAAGACGGGAGAGACGACAAAGATATAACAAGAAAAATAGGAAAAGGAAAAAACATGATAAAAACACTCCATCCGATCCTGTGGAATAAAACTTTAACTAAGAAAACAAAGAAAAATATATATCAGGCTATGATTCAGCCCGTGCTGACTTATGGGTCAGAAGTGTGGGTCTTTAACAAGAATATGTCACAGAAACTCCTCTCAACGGAAATGATGTACTGGAGAAGATGTTCCGGGTTAACTTTGTTTGACCACATAAGAAATGAAAACATAAGAGAGAGAATGAAAGTAAAGAACACAATAATGGATACGATAGCCGAAAAACAATTAAAATGGTATGGACACCTGAGACGGATGAACGAAGAAAGGATACCACGAAAGGTTTGGAACTGGAGACCTACACAGAGAAATAAAAGGGGAAGGCCAAGAAAGAAATGGATATCCAATATTCATATAGAAATGGAAAATAGAGGTCTTCAAGAAGGAGACTGGGCCGATAAGAAATTATGGCGATTGGGATGCGAGAAGCGACAAAATTAAAGTTGCAAACACTCGCTCTATATATATATATATATATATATATATATATATATATATATATATATATATATATATATATATATATATATATATATATATATATATATATATATATACAAAAAAGTAAACCAACTGGAATGCAAAAATTACCGCGGAATAACTCTCCTACATACAGCATACAAGATATTGTCAAACATTTTGCACGAGAGATTAAAGCCTTATACCGAAATGTTTCTAGGAGAATATCAGGCAGGATTCAGGAGTGGACGTTCAACTATTAACCAGATCTTTACAATACGAAAGATCCTCAAAACAGCGCAAGAGTGTAACATAGATATGTATCATATTTTCGTCGATTTTAAAGCGGCATATGAGTGTCTTAAGACCAAGTCTTTACAATGCTATGAAAGAGTTAGGAATTCCAAAAAACTCATATGTTTTATAAAAGTGACAATGGCGAAGATGTTATCAGCAGTAAAAATTCAAAACGACTCGTCAACCCCATTTGAAATACATAGGGAGGGGCAGGGAGATGCGCTGGCGTGTCAGCTTTTTAATGTCGCCTTAGAAAAAGTTGTACGAGACGCTAATTTAGTTAGCAGGGGAACAATACTTAATAGATCAGTTCAAATTCTAGCATATGCAGACGACGTGGACATTGTCTCAAAAAACTCGTATAAGGCTGTATAGAACACTGCTAGTCCCCGTTCTCACATATGGATCAGAGGCATGGACGCTAACTAAAACAGATGAATCCGCTTTATCGATTTTTGAAAGAAAGGTGCTACGCAAGATATTCGGAGCGGTCTGTGAGAACGGAATATGGAGGCGTAGACATAACTTTGAACTGCAGAATATCTACAAGCATACGTTTGGTGGTAAAGGATTACCACTATAATGAAACCGCCTGCAGTGGGCAGGACATGTAGCCCGGGCCCCTAAATCGAACATGATAAAAAAGATTCTAACAGCGCAACCCGTGGGAATGAGAAGACGGGGTAGACCAAAGCTGAGGTGGATGGATGGGGTAACATAAGAGGCGGAGAAGATCGTCGTCGGCAACTGGAAAATGCAAGCAAGGGATAGAACAGAATGGCGTAGAGAGCTTGAGAAGGTCGAGGCCCTCTAAGGGCTGTAGCACCAAGATGATCATGATGATGTTTATTGAAAGAGCAAAGGAAGGTATTGACATACGGACGTTGCTTATGCCACGGAGGATGTGTAGAGATGTGAAAGGGTGAAGTTGCAGCAAGATCGAAACTATCGAGGAGAGAATTTAGTATACAAGAGAGAGGTTAGACAGCTCTAATAAGAGAATAATAAAGAGATTATTTGGTTGAATAAGTAGTTGGTAGCTGCATACAACAAAAGAAGATGTTGTCTCCTTAACCAGAGTGGCGATTTGTTAGCTTCACAGTACATGCTTTGAGCTTGGCTAGATCTGAAGGCACCTAATCAGATCCTAAGACCCGTATTGTGGACGGAGTTAAGAGCTTTCAGATGTGACTTAGAGGCAGACATATAGACAAAACCACCATAGTGTATTTTGAAGCAAATAATGGCTCTGTAAACAATACCTTCGTCAACTCCCAATTGGAAATGTGCTAGACTTTTTAGGATATTAATATTTTTGGAATTGCCTTTCGTTTCCTGTATGTGGATTCCAAGTCTGCAGTCAAAGGACAGGATTAAGACTTTATTACGATTAATAACATCTAGTAACACTCCGTTGTGTGTCAAAGTTAGATTATCTTTTGTCGTTTTTCACTAACTTTCATAATTTTAGTTTTAAAGACTTCTATATTATCAATGGCTGTTTGCATTAGTGGACAGGTTGTTTCGATATTATGTCCTCTGCAAAAGAGTACAAGGTCATCAGCATATAATGCGTATTTTACAGGGAGATAAATGCTTTTGACTATTATCATTAAATGCCAAACTGAACAAAGTTGTGCTTATAACAGAACCTTGTGGTACTCCATTATGTTGAATACGAGTAGATGATAGCTTTCCGTTTAAAATAACTTCTATCATCTAAAAAATTTTGCACAAATTACATAGTATATGTTGTCACCAATATTGTTGCAAATTTTGGACTATTACAGAGTTTTTGAACAGTGTCAAAGGCTCTCCCGACATAAAAAAGGCTGCTAATAAATCTTACTTACAGACCATAGAGTCTTAAATATTTGTTTACCATTTTCTCCATTAATTTGCACATGGTGCATGTCAGCGATATTGGCCTATATGAGTTAAAGAAAACTTTGTGTTTGATTATGAACTTTTTTTTTTAATAGATATGATATATGGTTCTCGCCACCAGTTATAACTGTACTGTGAAACCACCACTGTGAAAAATTATAACTGTACCAAATACCGTTGTAAAATTTTAATAAAACAATAATGCAAGGAGTCGATAATTTCTTTAAGAGTATGAAAGAAATGTCATCTGGACCAGAGGCTGTGTTTTTACACAAATCGAGTGCCGGCAATAGTTCTTCTAAGGTAAATGGTGTGTTAATAAGATCGATTTGTTGTGCAGTTTTTATTGAGGAGAATTTTCCAGTTAATGTGCCTGATGATATATTAGGTGAGTATTGTGTTTTTAATTTTTGTTTAAACGTATTAGCTAATAAATTGTCAATTGGTTGTGTGTCATTGATAACGTTGTTTTTATAACTTATACTTTAAATACAGAAAAAAAAATAAAAAAAAAGAGAATTTGATAGGTCTCAAATATGTAAACAAGCTTGGGACAATGAACGTAGGGTTCAATGGAACGATTCAAGTATAGTCATAAACGAAAGATATGACAAAAAGAGAAAAATCAAAGAATCGGCTCTAATTATGCTACATACATATAAAATCAGAGTTTGCTCTTTTTTGAGAGTAAACTAAATGTAAGACCAAATACTTACCATGTCGGAATAGTATTATGAGGTTTTTTTTCTGGTTTTTTCCTCATGATTTACTATGGAATCACTAACAGGAGAATTTTACTGTCATCATGACATGTGATTATCTTTTTAAAGACGAAATCACATGCTATAATATTTTACAATAAAGTCACGCACCTCAGCAATGTTAAAGTAGTATACTTTAAAATGTAAATGTTTGAATTTTCAATATAAATGTGTCGGATATAATTAAATTATTAGAAGAATGTATCACCAATTAACAAGAATCTTAATTGCTTTAGGAGAAGTAATTGCTTTAAGATGCCCCAAGAAAATAGCTTCAGAACAATATATAATACATATCCAAAATGGATCAAAAATCAAATCTGTTATAAATGTAAAAAGGGTACAATAATTAACTCCGAACATTTATAAAAATAAAACTCAAATTGTGCATTTTTTAAATAAAAAATTTTTATTTGCATTCATTAAATTCTAGATTTTTTTCTCGTTAGTAAGTAAGTAAGTTCTCGTAAGTAATTTTCTCGTTCTTTGCACATATATTAAAAAAACTTCCAACATTAAACACAAAACATACCGTAACTATTCCATTATACGCAAAAACTTTACCTTATTGCTGTCAAGATATCCATTTTTGTAAGTCCTGCTAACGGATGAATTGAGTCTAAAGTTCTTCCAAAAGTTTCATGGAATATGTAGCATATTCTAGCTCCACCACATAGTTCAGTAGTCTCTATATTTCTAGCCGTTCCTTCTATGGTCGAACAATACGCAGATGCGAATTTTGTGATAATTTGCAACAATGTTTTGCTTTTGTCGGATATATCTTCTCCATAGGAACTTAATAAGGATTGATATTGAGACATCATCAGATTGACTCTAGTCTAAAAATACAAATTTTAAGTAAAAAAAACTAAAAAAATTTCGACTCAATATGCTTTTTGATTTACAGAGTGGCCCAAAAGTCTGGAAACAGCCAATTATCTCGTAAATTTTTAGTTATAATTGTACACAATTTGAGGTACACCTATTTTGGAATACAGAGATTCCATATTTGATATTTTCAATATTGCCAGATTTTCCGTTTCTCTTATATTATTAGTAACTTTGGTCTTTTAAATGCATCACCCTGTATATTTAGACATTATTGGAATCTCCTATTCAATACGAGTTCCACCATACGTAACACTTATGATTTTATGTAGTCTGAAAGGTCTTAAATACATAAAACACAAATCTGGCAACGCCTAATTGTTTCAATAAATTTTTTAATACTAATTATTTTCAACTACATGAAAACGTAACAATTGATAGATTAGAACATTTTTAACAATAGTTACGTTATTAAGTGTTCAAAATGTGCTCAATTTATGAGTTGACAGTACCCTAATCGATGGTAGAATGCGTCTTTCACATTTCTCCATGATGGTCTAGAAACAATTCGAGATTCATTGATAATTCGTTGCCTTAGCGCTGCAAGACTTGCTGGTTAAGTTTTGTAAACTGAATTTTTCAAGTATCATAATAAAAATAATCTTTATGATTGAAATCGGGTAAACGTGAAGGCCATTCAATTCTACCTTGTCTACCAATTTATCGTCCGGGAAATATCGCCTCTAAATAACGCCGAACATTGACACCAACTATCTGGCGTTAAATTTCTTTCGATAAAAAATGGCCCAATTGACTGAGTATCTACTATAACTGACGATACATTTAATTTTTGTGGTCTTTGAGTATGGTTTTCACGCATTCAGTGTGACTTTGCGTCACTCCAGTACCTTAAATTTTGTTGATTTACACTTCCACACAGTGTAAAGATTGCTTCATCGGAAAACATATTCTGTCAATGAAATTTTAATAATTTTCAATTTTATCCATCATTACCTCAGTAAACTCTAATCTAAGATCGAAGTCATCTTCACTTAATTCTTGCAATAAGTTTATTTTGTATGGTTTAAACTTATTTTTACGTAATATACGTAAGACTGAAGAACGACCTATATCATGTACTTGTGCAACCCTGCCTGGGGATGTATGTGGATCTTCAACAAAACTTTTCTATTTCCATCTATCTTTACCTTCTTCAGATTTCTCAAATCGCTTTACAGTTTTTTGTACCGTCGCCTTATGAATAGGAGAACGGTTTAGATAACGGCATTTTAGAGAAGCAATTTAAATTGCAGAACTTTTCGAAACACAACTACTGTCAGTTTTCGTTTATAATGTAAATCGTGAACAAATGTCAATATCACAGCATTCTACATTTAAATATTTAAATTTATTAAAATCTACATATTTTGCACTGTTTTATGTATTTAAGACCTTCCAGACTACATACAATCATAAGTGTTACATATTTTTGAACTCGTGTTACATATTTTTGAACTCGTATTGAATAGTTGAACTCGTATGAAATTCACACTGAATGCGTGAAAACCATACCAGACCACAAAAATTAAATGTATGATCAGGTATAGTAGGTACTTAGTCAATTGGGTCATTTTTTATCGAAGGAAATTTAACGTCAGATAGTTGGTGTAAATGTTCGGCGTTATTTAGATGAGATATTTTCCGTACTTTAGACAAGGCTACCTTGTCTACTTACTGTAGACAAGGTAGAATTGAATGGCCTCCACGTTCACCCGATTTCAATCCTAAAGATTATTTTTATTAGGGATACTTGAAAAATTCAGTTTACAAACTTAACCAGCCAAGTCTTGCAGTGCAAAGGCAACGAATGATCGATTAATCTCAAATAATTTCTAGACAATCATGGAAAAATGTGGTAGACGCATTCTACCATCGATTAGGGTACTGTGAACTCACAAATTGAGCACATTTTAAACACTTAATAACGTAACTATTGTTAAAAAATGGTCCAATCTATCAATTGTTACGTTTTAATGTAGTTGAAAATAATTAGTATCAAAAAATCTAATGAAAGAATTAGGCGTTGGCAGACTTCTGTTTTATGTATTTAAGACCTTCCAGACTATAAAAAATCATAAGTGTTACATATAGTTGAACACGTATTAAATAGAAGATTCTAATAATGACTGAATATATAGGGTGATGCATTTGAAAAACTAAAGTTACTAATAATATCAGAGAAACGGCAAATCTGGCAACATTGCAAATATCGAATATATAATCTCCGTATCCCAAAATAGGTGTCCCTCAAATTTTGTACAATTATAACTAGCAATTTACGAGATAATTGGCCGTTTCCAGACCTTTGGGCCACTCTGTATATCACGAAGTACTTGTAAACCAATAACCGCTAAAAGGCATAGGCTTAACTCCAATTTTTCTTACTCAATTGCAATAAACTTTTACAATATATTGATCATCGTAATCCTTCTTTATGTAACCCCCCGCAATTAAGTATTAACTTGTAACCGTTTCAAAAGTTAACAGGGTGTGACAGGGCGTGGTGACACTCTAAATATTAGCTTGCTTTCGCAGCCATTGGCTATGATCCTGCGCCATATGGACAGCTTCAGGTAGGGATTTTCTCATCTTCATTTGGTCTGGCCAACGTTTTGGAATCTTCTTCGTCTTTGGCCGTCCACCTTTATTTCTACTACCAATAGTTCCATGCTCCTCGTTCTTCTAGCGATGTGACAGAAGTAAATTAAACCAGAGCTTAGCATTCCTTGTTACAGTTCGGTCATTCCATATTTTAATCAATTTAGCTGTTGCGGCTTTTTTATGCTTGATTTCTGAGGAGCAATCGCAATTGTTAGATCATTATTTTTGTTTTGCCGTTGTGAATCTGAAGTCCGAATTCTTCGCTTATCCAGCTTAACCATTCAATGATGGTAATCATTTCGACTTCATTCGCTGCTAGTATAAGTGTGTCATCTGTGTAACCAGCAGGTTGCTGGTTTTTCTGCTCCCTATTGTGATTCCTCCATCTCATTCGTCTAGTACTTTTCTCATTAAATGTTCAGTATGTTCAAATGTTCATGGTAATAGTATACAGCCCTGTCTAGTTCTTTTGCTGTTTTGATCGCATCTGAACATATTCCGTGCATTTTAACTTTGGCTGCGTTTTTATCAAACACATATTTCTTATTAGGTTAATTAGGTGGTTAGGTACTCCCATATTTTTCTTATACTCCAAAGGGGATCCCATTTTACTGAATCGAAAGCCTTTGTGTAATCTAAGAAACACAGCAGCATTGGTATGTTGTGTTCCCTTGTTTTTTCTATTATCTGTATCTGCTTTCCTTTTCCTGATATGAATCCGCATTATTCTTCGGCTATCTCTGCTTCGAAATCATACTCTGCGTTTATTATTTGTGAAAATTACATATTCCTTATTGCGTTCTAGCCAATAAGGAAGCCTTTCGTTTCCTGTATGTGGATTCCAAGTCTGAAGTCTAGAGAGAATTTCTATATCTTTGTTTCATGGCTATGACTAATATATCGCTACAAATAATCGCTTCTGGTATCATTGATCATTCTTTGCGTTCATATTCATTATTACCAGGAACAAGAAATTGAGAAGTTCTGTGCACAACGAACTCCTTATCTTAATCTTTTTTAACTTTTGTTTCGTTTTAACTTTTAAGTGTTTCTTTCCAATCGCCTTTAAGGTTTGGTAAAAAAATTCCTTTGGAACCTAAAAACATTAGAGAATGGTATCCAAGTGAGGTATTGGTCTTTAGTTTCATTGGAGCAGAATCAGAACTTTTATGGTGGATATATTGAAAAAAAAAAAAGGGAGAAACTTAGAAATGGAGTCTAAACCATTTTTCTACAGCACTGTTATCAAACTAGCTGCCCAGATGTGATTTTTTACATAAATTTCAACCAATGAAACAATTTAAAAGACTTTAAAATAATGGGGGACATTTTAAATCAAAATTATTATGTTAATTAAAACTTAATATTTTTTAATATTATTTTTAAATTTAAAACTAACAATCAAAACAATATTACTACACTAATTATTTACTAAATAAAATAGATACCTTTAAGTCTGGTAAACAGTCTCTTATATGATGCATCAACAACCTGTTCAATGTCTTAGCTAAATATGGTGTTCCATTTCTACCAGCCAAAGTGGGATATTTACTTTGCAAGTATGTAGCCTCATCTTTTAAAGAGTCCTTAATGGACTTATTGTTCATAATATCCTGTTGAGATCTATTAACCACTCCGATGATTCCTAATTTTACAGGTATAACCCTCCCACATAGGATGTCTATAGCATCAGTTCCTGTAACAATATTGTATTTAATATACATACACATCTAAACATTTAAGCAAAGACAATAAATTAAATACAACACATGAAAACAACAGAAAATAAACATAATTAACGTAAAAAACTTAACCTAGACTTAAAAAATTTAAACTAGAAAAAATATTTACCAGCATCCATAAGATCTAACTTTGTTACAACAGCCAGTGTCCTTCTGCCATCAGGATCTACATCTTTGGCTATAGCTAAACTTTCTGATGTGGCCATATCAGTATTTGCAGTAACTACAGCTAAAATAATAGAGTTAGGATTTGCAATATATTTCAACACCAATTCCCTTATTTGTTGCTCTATATCTGGTGGTTGGTCACCTACGGGAACCTACAAAAAAAATTAGATAAAAAAGTATAAAAAATTTTACTGTTAGGATGACTTTTTGAAATATCACTAATATGACTTAAATGGCAGTTATTTTGAGAAGATTCTACACAATAAAAACCATATAAATACTCTTTTCACTACCTTTGTAATTCCTGGTAGATCCACTAACGTCAAATTAACAACTCTTGTTGAGTATATTTTTAGATTAATTGGTTCTGGGCATATTCCTTTGTTATTGCCAGCCATACGGCTGGTTTCTTCCTCAATTTCAACTCTAATTTTATCAAAATCTCTAAAAATCTTATCTTTGGCATGAAGGAATATTCCCCAGTCATCAAGTTCCACAGTTCCTGTGAAAAAAATTTATGGTACGTATAAAAGAATTTGATAACATAATTTACAATTAAGTATGTAGTGAAAGTAAAGTATACAATCTTGTTAAAATTCGGTGTGGGTATATAGTAGAATAATTAACAATAAAATAAGCATATTTTAAAAATTAATTTTATGTGCCATCCTCTTAAGAGGAGAAATTAAACAACTGCTCATAACTTTGTCACTAAAGGTAACTGAGTAAACACGAAACAGAAAAACGCAGTTTTATATTTTTTTTAAATCCATATAAAAAACTGCCGCAACAGGTATGGACTCTACATGATCAACGACGGGAATCAAATATCCGATCCATCATTACAATTAAGTTCTGCTTATAGAAAAAGTATAGCCGAGCATAATAAAAGTGACAAACAATCATCAAATCTCGAAATGGATATGTGTGTCAAATTTGGAATTTTCGGAATGCCGAAAAAAAAAATAGTATCTTAAAACTCATTTACATCAACCAATATTATTCGAGAAAACGAAAAAGCAAATTTCTGTACTGGACATGAAACAATGAAAAGTCAACAATAGTGAGTGAGTGAAGTGGTTGCTAGTGACATTAATTAACACACTGATAAAATCCAAAATCCAGTGTAAGTGGCAAAGAAATGGAATATTAGATTAGATGTAAGACAACTCTAAATGTAAAACACTTATTAAAGTGTACAAAATTTATACAAGAAAAACCCAACAATATTCTTTCCGACGATATAAAGACATTATAAGTAAGATGAAAACCGTAACATAAACAATATTGTAAATTTCCTTTAAGGAACTGATCTTTTTCATCTATTATAAATTAATTAAGTAACTGTACCTTACTGTAACATGTCGCTAATAAACACTAGCAGTTGACGCGATTGATATTAAATAAAAAAAATCCTTAAGTTTACAGGGAACACATTTGAATAAAGTTGAAATATTTAGATTTCTTATCAATTCAATGTAAAACCACATTCATATGAATTCTTTTTTTTTTCCTGCTATACTACAATATATACTTAAATATAAGGGTTAGTTTTAAGCTGAAATTTATATTTAAAGTTTTTGATATGTTCGTAAATCGTTTTTAATATATTAATATCTCTAGAGAAAATCAAATTGTTGAGGTAGACGGGAAGTGGAATTTTTAATATAATAAGATTATCATAAAATTTGTTTATGTTTACTGATTCGTGGGAACATTCAAGGAAAATATGTAATAGGCTACCTTCTTTTCCGCACTTGCAATTAGGTGACTCCGCGAGACCCAACTTTTACATATGAAGGGGGGTAAGAGCATGATTAGATCTTAATCTGTTTATAACCCTTATGAAATGGCGATTTGATAGAGTATGAAACCATCTTTTTATGGGTATTTCAGGCTGCATTTATTTGTAATTATTTCCAGTTCTCGTGTTTCGATAATATGCTTGCCATTTTTCTTTTTGATGCCGTTTACTAATTATATCAATGTCTAAAAAGGGGAGTAAGTTCAAGGGAGCTTCTCCGCCTATGTTTAGGGCAGATTTGGCTAGGCTATCTGCTATTTCATTGCCCTTAATGCCCACGTGTCCCTTTATCCATGATATAATAATGTTTTTCCCTAAATTTGTAATTTTATTGTAAATAGTCATAATTATATTGTAGATATTCATGAATTGTATAAAAGAAATGTTTTAATTTTATTTTCAAAATCCTTTTAAGGTAAGTTACTGATATTCTCATGCAGAAGATTAAAACATTTTATTGCCAATACCCTGGTCTATTTTGACACGTTTTCAAACGCCAATACACTGGTATCATATTCTGATTATGCCTACTATTGTAACCATGCTGATCTTCATGACTTATATAAATATTGATATTCCTCCTCATGAATCAAAGGTTTTCTAGAACATACTGTGCTGGTACAGTAAGACTTCCCAATCTTTCGTAATCCTGACCGCAGGCCTCCCTATATACCAAACCAGCAAAGATTCTCTGCCTTTTTCTGCAGACCAAATACTCTGTGTGTGTTTGAGAGGGTTCTAAAAATAAAAAGACTTTTCCACCCACATCTCTTATTGTGAAAATCACTGATTTAGTTTTGCTATTTTCATAACCAACATATTTGCAGCAAACCATTGCAAGCCCTCTGGTGTGCCACCACAGAAGCCTCAAGCACATCCTTAATATTATCAGCTGCAAAGGCCACTTCAATTATGATTTTATGAGCTCAATACTCTCGGAACAAAAGTTATATTTTTCTCATTTCTTCAGAAGCATTTCATGTATGACCAAGTCAAAAGCCTTGCTCAGGTTACACAAAAGAACTGAGTAATATGACTGTAATATACACTATAAGGTTTTAAATACCTAAAACTGTATTTTTATGTTTGCACAAACCTAATTGACATTCAGACAACATATCATTGACCTCAAAAATATCTACTATTGATCATGCCATGCATTTTTCCATCGTTTTCGAAATAATTGGCAGTAGTGAGACTGGCCGAAAATTTTCTGTCAGTCTTGAGTCCCCTTTTTTGAAGATTTGATATTAATTAATGGATTGGAAATTAATTAATTAGCTTAATAAGTGGAATTATGATATTTTTTATTGTTTGATCAACTTCGTCAACATTTAGTCCAATATTGACACGGATGTTTTTATTTTTTAAATTATTGATAATATCTTCTACTGTGTTGAAAGTGACTTCATTGAGAAAATTGATTTAATATATTTATTTGAGTTATATCTATGATTACCAACTTCTTTTGGCATGAATTTAATAATATGGAAAACAGCTACATGTGATTTAAACAGGATAGTGCTATGTGCTGCATAAGTCAAGTCACATTGGAAATTCTGCACTAGCGATTTGAGGGAATGATCATGTCACATGGAGGTGATGTGAACTCGCCACCTTTAGATTCTTTTTTTTTTTTCTAACAAATTTTCGACTACAAAAAATTTTGATATATCTGCTTTTTGTTTTATTATTATTATTTTTTATATTTTAGATTCTTTCTTGTGAGGGTTTCTTAAGTTAAAGGTATATGTGAATAAGCTACAAGCGCCCTCGAGGTTAATATAACTCATGCCATTAGTACAATTCAGCCTGATTTATATGCCAGAGTCATGGAAAATTGGACATTTTGAATACATAATGGCCTCGAGAGGCCTTTCAAATGAAGAAAAAATTTTGATCATATCTCTCACACACACACTCTGTTTTATTTAAATTAAAATATAGTAAGTGTTTAATTAAAGCCCTTACAAAATAATATCTAGCAATTGAAAAAAAAAAATTATAGGTTGCTGAAGTTCTTTCAGAACACTTACAATATAATTAAATATGTAGTTCTTAAAATCAATCATTCTATATCCCAAATAATCAATATGTTTCCTGTAAAGAATATATTGTAATCCAAGAAGAAAAATTATATTGTTTAAAGTTCAATCAGAATTCATTGAGAGACTCAAAATCAATGTTTTCGTGAAGGTACCACTTTTTTTAACCAGTTAATTCAGCTAATAATGTCTTTATTTTATATACAGAATAGTCTTGACTTGTTATTGGATTAATAAAACATTTATTTTCTGGCTAAATCTAAGACATTCTACTGAAATCATGCAGGAAAAGCTTTTGTCTTCCTATCTCAAGTTTTTTTAACTTTGTACCATTTTTTTTATCATTGCTTGTGTGGTAGGTGTCTATAGGTCCTGATGAAACATATTCTTTGTAAGATCCCATCAATTTTTAGTCATTGCTTTAAAAATTTACGGCTGTAAACATTGTAAAATGACAAACTGCATGCTGTGAAACTTCCAATGTTCTCTGACTAATTTCTAGATCCATGATTATCTGCCAAGCAATCATTTAATTTACATCATTAATAATCCATGGAGATGTAACATTTTAATAATAGGACTCTTCTAATTGTATTTTATCAAAATATATTTCTAGGTAATTCTCACACATCACTATTTGAAATTTTCATGTTATTAATTGATGGATTCGACCGTTACTTGATGGAAATTCATTTTATGTAACAATAAACACTGAAAACTTTGTTTTCAAACTTCCACAAAATTTATTTTAAATATTATCACTACAGCTGTTTCGGCTGATTGCCTTTCTCAATTGATCTATTTTGGTTTGGGTTTACAAATTTATAGTCTCTAATGAAATAGGTTGGGTGCGAATAATGAAATAGGAACAGAAACGACTGGCGAAATAGACTGGGGAAGGTCAAGGCTCAACTAGAGCTGTAGCACCACTGATGATGATGAATGAAATAGGTTGAGGAGGGGAGAACTGTTTGTCTCAAGTTGGTCATTCAGAATTATATCTGTGTTTTTTAATTTGTTAATTCCCATAGATTCTAAGAAAGATAGCTTAAGGCCTTTATTTTGAATGTGAAGAATTTTAAATGTTAAATTTTAATTGTGAAGAATAGAAAAACAGATTCGACATACGCACTTCACCTTCTAGATCATAATCATTCTTTTAATGACAAATTTAAAATTCTTCACATTCAAAATAAGGCCTTAAGCTATCTTTGTTAGAATCTATGGAAATTAACAAATTAATAAGCACAGATATAATTCTGAATGACCAACTTGAGACAAACAGTTCTCCCCTCCTCAACCTATTTCATGAGAGACTATAAATTTGTAAACCCAAGCCAAAATAGATCACTTGAGAAAGGCAATCAGCCGAAACAGCTGTAGTGATAATATTTAAAATAAATTTTGTGGAAGTTTGAAAACTAAGTTTTCAGTGTTTTATTGTTACATAAAATGAATTTCCATCAAGTAACGGTCGAATCCATCAATTATTTAAAAGAAGTCAGTACAGGAATTTTGACCATATTGTTTCAAGATTACATCTGAAACGTAGACTGGCGACACAAAACATCTGGTTTTTAAATATGTGTTTACAAAATAAAGTGTTCCCGAAGTATATTCAGTTAAAAACCAAAAACCACATCCCCGCTGCAC